ACCTGTAATCCCAACACTTTGGGAGGCCAAGGTGGGTGGATCACGAGGTCAGGAGTTCAAGACCAGCCTGGCCAACAGGGTGAAACCCCGTCTCTACTTAAAATACAAAAATTAGCTGGGTGCGGTGGGACCTGTAGTCGCAGCTACTCGGGAGGCTGAGGCAGTAGGATTGTTTGAACCTGGAAGATGGAGGTTGCAGTGAGCCGAGATCGTGCCACTATACTACAGACTGGGTGAAAAAGCAAGACTCTATCTCAAAAAAAAAAAAATTAAAATTAATAATTTTTACCAGTTTCACTGGGGAGCTGCTCAGCAGAACTCCCCATGCTTTCATTCTGGAAGTGAATCTGCCTTTTATTTCTTCTTGCTTAATTGCAAGGGTTAGAAATTCCAATAATATATTGAAAAGAGTCGTGAGTACAGACACCCTTGCCTTGTTCCCAATCTTAAAAAGCATTCAATCTTTCACCATTAAGTATGATGTTAGCTATATAAGTTTTTTGTATAAGATCTTTATCAAGTTTATTTTTAACTTGCTGAAAGTGTGTGTGTTTTTTTTAATCATGAAGGATGGTTGTTGTGTCAAACACATTTTCTGTGTCAACTGATACCGTAATTTTTCTTCTTTAGCCTGTTGGTGTTGTGGATTATTGTTGATTGATTTTCAACTGTCAAACCAGCCTTGCATACCTGGAATAAATTCCACTTGGTCATGGTGTATATTTTTTTATACATCGTTATATTTGATTTGCCAATATTGAGAATTTTTGTGCCTGAATTCATGAGAGATACTGGTCTGCAGTTTTTGTTTTGGAGGTCTTGGGGGGTATTGACACTTTGTTAGTTTTGACATCAGGATATTTCTTGCCTTATAAAATGAGTTAGGAAGTGTCCCCTTCTCTTTTGTTTTCTGAAAGAGATTGTTTAAAGTTGATATTAATTCTAATGGTGTGGTGTGTCTGGTTCCTGGGGTACAGCAGGGAGAGATGCCCAGCAGGCAGCCAGGTATGTAGCACTGAGCCTTGAGGCAGGTCTGGGGGAGTCAGAGGGCAGCCCCTGGCTTCATTAGCTCAAAGTTAGAACCCACAGAAGACTGAGGATTTTGAAACCTCCCTCCCTGTCTGTGACAATGGCTACTCTGATTCCCCCCACCCCAATCAGGGGTGATGACAATGTCTCATTCATCTGTCTCCCTGGTGCCTGGCACGGGGCGGGGGGGGGGGTGCTCAGTGAATCTGGGTGGCGCAGTAGCCTGTGTGAAAGCAAGAGGCATTTCAGGAAATTCATGAGGCGGGCTTCTTCCTGAGAGGTGTGGCAGAGGGTGCTGCCAGGAATAGAGGGAAACACTTTCTTCCCTTTTCCTTCTACTGCCTAGGGAAGTGTGGGGGTGGAGGGGAGGTGAAGGGACAGATCAACGAGTTGCCAAGAGACCTGGAGACCGACCCATCCGGGCTGCCTTCCCTGGTGCGCTCTCGCCGGCTCCATCCCTGGTTGCCATGGAGACAGGAGGCGGTTGCCACGGAGACCGACGACTGCCAGGACCAGCCAATCACTCCGGAGCTGCAGCTCCAGGGCTCACCTTTTGGATGGAGGCATCGGGCTGGGCGGGGCCCCCTTCCTCCCCAGGCCCTGCACCTTCTGCTTGGTCAGCGCAGCCACCGCAGCCCAAAGCGCTCCGAGCATTCCAGGATCCCAACCACCTCCCCAATCTCCCACAACCAGGGTTCTGGGGGCGTCCCCGCCTCTTCCCGGCCACGGGCTAATGCCACCCTGAGGCAAGCCAGCTTCCAATTGGCCCTGAAACCCTCCCTCGTTAATGCTGTGGAAAGGGCGGGACCGGGCGCAGGCGCCCACCCCCGCTCCCCCTCGAAACCGCGCACAGCTAGAGGGAGGCCACAGCCGG